CCAGAATGACAGGCACTCCAAGCATGAACCTACTATTACAAATTGCCATCTTTAGTGTAGTTGCTTAGTTCACAGGTGTCATCTTGGAGTGTTTTTGCTTGCTTTGCCATGGTGGGGCCCCCATCCTCACATCAAGCAGGGTGTCTCCCAACCCTTGCCTTGCCATGGGCTGCCCTTGTCAAGGAGAAGTTTAATACGTGACTGTCCAGTGGTTCCTGGAGGCAGGGATGGGGGCGGTTCCCAGCCTTCTTCTTGAGATGTCGTTTGGGGGTCCCAGGAAAGGCTGCTTCCTGCTCACAGGCTGTATTGCTTAGACATAGCCACCAGCTGGACACAAACTTAGCCCCAAGAGGGTGGTGCAGGCTGCCTACAGCCTTGGCATGCCTCTATCCTCACCATCGTTTACGCACTTGGGCCTTCAGTTTCTGGGTCTCTGTTAGGCCACTGTCTAATGCTGTGAGGAAGACCTGCTGCCTGAGAACTTGTTATATTCATGTCCAGAGAGAGCAAAAGCACTGTGTGCTGGCCCGGTTGCATGGCACGGGTGGGGCAGGGTGCTCATATTGCTCTAATTTCCAAGGAAGGATGCTTAGCATCTGATCTGTAGATCCTTGGCTGACTGAGGGCTGACCTTAAGGAGATCCCTGAGCTAGGACTGATGGTGTCTGCTAGTGGGAGGCTTGTCTCGGCACTTGCTTTTGCTGTGCCTTTGTAGGTATTTGGCGCTCTGATTCTCAAGCGCTGCACTAGGATCCTACAGAGAACTTTTAAAGAATATTGATTCCCCCACCCCCTTAGCAAACTGTGGCATGTAACATTGGGTTCCACAAACACTTCCCTTTTCTACTATGAGTTTTTACTTTGGCATAATAGTCACTGGCTGTGTGTCCCAGTACCTTTGCCTGAGGGATACAGGAAGCGATCTTTTGCTTACCCACATGAGAGGCAAAGTGTGTGCACATGCGCAAAAGTGTCAAGCCAGGATTTTCATGCATGTGATGCTCCATCTGGCAGGTTTGGCACGTGTCTATCTGAGCATCACAGGGTATAATATACTCACATGACTCTAGGATCTTTTTTTAAGTTTGCTTTTGATTTTGCTGGTAGAAGTAGCTCAACCTGGGACAATGGCCCATGATAAACCAGATACGCAAATTTTGGAGGAGAGCACAAGTGATCATCAAACTAGTCATGCATGGATGATGAAGATGATCTACTATGGCAAAATACATGCTTTCGTAACACAAGAGTGGTGTGGGTGGTGATGACTTTGACATTGGCCATGTGAGCCCAAGTGACAGAACGGTGAAATGAATCAAGAATCAGCTGATACCTAGGGAATGAGACCTTAATTTGAAGAAAACAGCAATGTGAGTACATGTTTGCCTAAAGCTAGGCTGATTCAAAATACAGCGAGGGTCTTGGCAGGTGTGAAATGTATTGGGAAGAATGTCAACAGTGCCATTCAGTGTTGGAAATTGTAACAGACAAAGTGCAACAAGATGCTGTAAAATACACAAAGGCTGAACTACAAGTAAAAATATTCTGCATCCACTGAAATACAAAGTATGATGGCACCTCACTAACTGCACTGAAAGCATGCATAGATCTAGTGTAGCATGGCTTTCCTATGGTGATCACAGGAATGTAAAAGACTTAGGAAAAGTGGTGGGTGGGTCAGAGTATGGCAGAGAATGTATGCCCTTATAGATGTGAAGACATTATGCTTTTGAGTTAGATATTTAGCTAGAACTTAGTCTCTGAGTCCTTTTTTTTTGTTTGTTTGTTTGTTTTTGTTTGGTGCTGGGGATTGAATGCAAGACCTTGTACTTGCTAAGCAGGCAGTTATGCTGCTGAGCTATCTCCCTGGCCCTCTCATTTATATAGAAATAAACTGAAGGATATTGTGAGCAGACTTGTTCTTCCCATCTCGCAGACTAACTGGGATGTGACATTCACCAACTGGTTTACCAAATTCCAATTGATATTATATTTGCTAACGGAGCACAAGTTGACCACCAAAGGACTGTACACAGGAACAAAGCAGAAATTCCAAATTAAATGTTGCAATTTCAAAACAGAGAATTGTACAGTGCAACCTTTGGATTTCAGAAAGATTCATATTAGCCTAACAAATGGTAAAGAAAAGCAAACTGGTACTGCTGATGTCAACATTGCACCATGATGGAAATATTGCTAGGGAACAGGATGGAAGCCTGAGATGGACACAAAACCAAAGGTGGAGCAGATGCTGTTGATGAGTTAAGCAGCAACTATGATGTCTCTTGAAACACAAACCACTAGCCAATGGTTTTGTTTTACTTGATCCTAAATATGCGTGGCATAGTTTGATCTTTTACAAAGAAAGTAGGAGTGCAAAATATCATAGAGAAATTTTCTTGGAGGACTGGGACGGGAACTCATAAGAGATCATTTACAGCAGAGAAAAACCCAGGTGCTTCTGCCCAAGGAACTACACAAAAAATTGTGCAGCACGCTGGTGAGCTGATGAGGGAACAAGCAGGGGCAGCATCCTCAAGACCCACAGTGACAGCAGGAAACCCTAAACGATGTCACCTGTGCCCTCCAAGAAAGGACAGGAAAAGAAAACATACATGTTATCAGTGTAAGTGGAACTTGTGTATGGATGTGCAGTTGTCATCTGTGAAGCCTGCCTTGGGTGTGACAGTTGAATGAAACATTATTTCTGTATCAGGTTTTTATCTGTGTTTACATTGTCGCTCATGTAGATTTTCATTTCTGATGGTACCCCTTAGGTTTTTTAACCAAGTATACAACTGATATGAAAATGTTTATGTCTGTGGTTGGGATTTTTTTTGGGGGAGGGGAGGGGTACCGGAATCAAACTCAGAACCTTGTACTTGCCAGGCAGGTGTTTGTGCCATTGAGCTATATCCCTGGCTTAATGTCTATTCTAATCACACTATACATATTAATAGCTGAACAGTTTATTTTTTGATATTTTATATTTCTGTTATTACACATTGCATAATATAAATAAGAACCTCCTACAAACCGACAAGCTCAGTGATATGTCATATATGTCATACAAAAAGACCAGGAAAACAAAACACACGTGCTGTCAGTGTAAGCCATGAGTGTGTAGTACTATAGTCATGTGTATAGACTACCTTAGGTGTGATAATTGAAATAAAGATTTTTTTGTATAGTGCCATTGGTATTTTTATTGTATTCAAATAGAATTTTATTTCTATTGTTCTTTTCATGTATTTGGTACAAGGTCTCACTACACAGCTCAGACTCCTAGTGATCTTCCTGTTTTCAGCCTCCCCAGTGCTGGAATTACAGGTGTGCACCACCATGCCCAGTCTTGGTGGCCAGCTCAGTGTGCCTGAGGACGTGGCCAGCACAGCATGTGGTGCCAGGGATCAAACCCGGTGCTTGCGCTTGCCTAAGCAGGCACTTAGTCCACTGAGCTATCTCACCAGCCCATCTATTGTTCTTTTTTAGA